CACCACCCCACTATCAGCAATGGCATCCTAACAATAAAATGGATTAAACTGTTTTGCAGTTGGTTCATTTAATTTTTATATCTAGGACAGCTACCTGGAGTATCTGCAGATATGCAGGCCTGATAAACACATCTTCCTTGAGCTTATGTAACAGAGTAACTGACTAATGTATTCTAATATAATGTGTTTTTCCTTGACCTTCTGGAGAACAGCAAGTGATTTTAGGTTTGCATTGCTGGAGAGATCCTGGGGCCGCGGGACCAACATCAGTGAGTGGCTTAGTTTGTAGATTTACTTGAATAGGGGAAAGGTGAGGACTGAGCAGGAGGTTTCAGGACTGTTTTCATATAGATACGAAAGACACAAAGATACAAATTCAAGATTATACACCCTTTTTCTGTACAGAAAGAAAATTCAGGGTTGCTTTATTTTGTTGTAAAAGATCTAGATCTTTGGTCAAATCAGTAAATACAGATTTAATTCCTTAATCTGAAATCTGAAATGCTCCTAAATCTGAAACTTTTTGACCTTTGATTTGAAGCTCATAGGAGATGCTCATGGGGCATTTCAGATTTTGGATTTTCGGATTAGGTATGCTGAATCTGTAAGTATGTATAATTCAAACACTGTAAAATTCAAAAGTATCTGAAATCTGAAACACTTCTGGTCCCAAGCATTTCCCAAGTATACTCAACATGTATAAAGGCTAAGCAGGTCAAGTTCTATTCTTAGCATTTCTTTCCATGTGCATCCTAACTTGGCCTGTGGAGTATCTGATTGTCCCTTCTTTTCTCTTTTCCAATATTTAATTTATGAGTCAAGTCTCTGCCCTCATTCCTGCTCTGTTGTCCTTTCACTTTTCCCTCTCTCGTCTATCGCCATCAACTTGAGGCATGTGGTCCTCCAAGGCTGTAGCCTGAATCCCGGCATCCCTATACCTCCTTCCTGATCTGTGTCCCAGGGCCAGCTAGACTCGTTCTCTGTTTGACCTCACTCTGTGGTCTTACCAGACTGCACCATTGGTCAGTCACTCAATCGTGCCCGGAATTTCACTTCTTTTGTGTATAACTTTTAGCCAGTGTGCATGGGGTGCCTGCTCACACGTCACGTGCAATGCCAGGCCTTGGAGATGCAACAGTGAACAAGAGAAATCGCATAACCCTGCCCTTGAGGAAGTGATAGGTGGGCCTTCAGACCTCTGGGTTCGTGTCATTCCTTGCATCTGGAATGACCACTGTCTTCCCATCCTTTACCTCCACCTCCATTTCTGCGTGTCCAAGTCTGTCCATTCCTCAAGCCCAGTTTGCTATCCTATCCTCCCTGAAGCTCCTCCGCAGAAATTTTGGCCAGAATTGACTTCTGCTGCTGCTAAACTCCTGCTTGTTTTGCCTTTTTTCTGGAATTATAGTGACTTAAATGTTTTCTTCTGTCTGTTGAGTATAGGCTTCTGAAAGCAGGGGCTGGGACTTACCAATCTTTGCCTCTTCCACAGCCTCTGGCATAATGACATGAATGCAGTAAGTGTGCAATAAATGTGTGTGGAATAAATTTAGGAATTCATGAAAGTTCACTTCCATTTTCAGCCAGTGCGTTCTGGCCAAGTGTTACTTGCTCATTATTAATCCTGAAACTTTAATGAAATTCATTTTCTTGGGGTGGGTGCAGTGGCTTATACCTGTAATCCCAGCACTTTGGGAAGCCAAGGTGGGAGGATCGCTTTGAGCTCAGGAGTTCAAGACCAGCCTGGGCAACATGGCGAAACCCCATTTCTACAGTTAGCCAGACATTGGTGGTGTGCACCTGTAGCCCCAGCTATTCAGGAGGCTGAGTCTGGAGAATCACTTGAGCCCAGGAGGTGGAGGTTATAGTGAGCCAAGATCACGCCACTGCGCTCTAGCCTGGGTGACAGAGTGAGACTCTGTCTCAAAAAAGAAAGAAAAAATTGTCTTCTTTTTCTGTGAGTATATAGCAGGCACATAGTAAAGAATTTGAGTCCTAAGTATAATAGGACTCAAATTGCAGTAGGAAGTGAATAGGTGAATTTTTTATGCTTATAGGCATATTTTTCTTAAAACCTGTAAAGTTATTATCCAAATAAAAACATATCTTAGAAAATTAACTGTTTACAGTTTTCATTGCCAATATTTTACTTCTGAAAACAAATAAACTGAAAGTAAATAATAGTGTATCTCTGGGAACTCACATGAAGAGGAAGGAAGACAGGTTTATACCTGGTTCAGATCCCAGCTCTGCCGTCTTCTGATTTACGCAGCCTACGTCAAGTTGTTTAACTCACTTGTACTTTCATCTTTATCTCTGGCTCTCAGCATCTTGATAGACTGTTTCTTGCTCATCTTTGAAACTCCCATTCCTAAGACAGTACTTTGGAAATAGATATTCATTTGATATTGGATGAATGGATGGAAGGAAGGAAATTATCTACCTGATCCATTCTATTTTGGGAGTTTTCAGTGGTGATTGTAAAAGCAGAGAATGTTTAACCCATTTTATTTTCCTTTTCAAGTTCAAAAACTGATACTTTAGTTATGGGGTGCTTTCACTGATTTTTGGTAGCCATACTCTTTGTTAGGTTATATTTATAAGCCAAGGCATGCCATCTCAAACCTTGTGAATTCATCTGCAGTTATGATAATCCAGTTCATTTTAAGATACTACATTTTGGGTTTATTTTTTGTTTTTGTTCTTGTTTTTGAGATAGAGTCTTGCTCTGTTGCCCAGGCTGGAATGCAGTGGCTCGATCTCCGCTCGCTGCAACCTCTGCCTCCGGTTCAAGTGATTCTCATGCCTCAGCCTCTCGAGTAGCTGAGACTATAGTTGCACACCACCATACCCAGCTAACTTTTGTATTTTTAGTAGAGACGGGGTTTTGCCATGTTGGCCAGTCTGGTTTCGAACTCGCGGCCTCAAGTGATCTGCCTGCCTTGGCCTCCCAAGTACTAGGATTGTAGGCATGAGTTACCATGCCTGGCCTATATTTTGTTTTAATGCATATCAAAACACAATTAAAGAAGTCAGTTTTATTTTGTATTTTTTAACTGTGAAATCTTGTAGAAGTTAAAAACTTAAGTTATAATAAATTGTTAAAGTCCTGGTTCTATCACCCCTAAACTCAAAAACTCTCCTAACAAATAAAATGCAGTTGCTAAGTTGTTGATATTTACAAGGCTTAAAGTATTTTGACCAAAATGTTCTTTCTGTCATTTTTATTTAATAATAATAATGCTTTTTGAGAACATTATTTTTTCTGGCTCTGCCTTTTTAGATTCCGATCAATTTTGAGAACTACTAGTCTCAGTGGCATTGTGTTTTCAGACAATAAGAGAGAATTGGAGATTTACTATTCACTCAAATGTGAATAAATTTAGTAGGAATTTGGACAAGGACCAAATATTAGTAGGACTTCCTTTCCATTAAACATTATGTAAAGTCTTTACAGAGAACTCTATCAACTCTGTGAGAATAACATTTAGAAGTTTACTTGTTGCTTTTGCAGACTAAAACTTCATCATTTTAGAAAGTCATTTGATTCACTTATTTACTTAGCCTTTAGCATTAGAGAGACCTGTATTTTTGAATTGCAGATTTTTTTCCTTCATCGTCAGGAGGAGTGGTTATGCTCTGTAATACTATGCTGAAGTAAAATTACACATTCGGGGTATCTAAATTGGCATGCCAAATTATAGGACATTTTAATTATTATGTGGATGTGACAGATTCAATTATTCTTGAACTCTTTTGAGAAAGCGGCCCTTAGCAATGATTCACAGTAGTAAACAAAAGATTAACAAGAAAATGCCCTTTATGAGGCTTAATAAATGTGTCCGATTAAATACCATGGGGCAGAATTAACTACAATGTCTACATGTAGAAAAACAACCTGTGTCCTGCTTGGAGGTTCAGTATATTCTCTTAAGATAAATTTACTCTAAATGAAGCACTAAGTGCCACTTAACATCAGAACTGTTTTTCTAGGTGCGTCATTTGGGCCAATTGTTCAGACTCCTTCTTCCCTCTGAAACCATTAACCAAAGCCACTAATAAGTAGAAATGCAGAGTTAAGAGCCCCTTCCTCTCTCTTTCAATTTCCAGTGGACATATTAATGAGCAATAAAGCAGCTAAAAGGCAAGCAGCTAAAGAAAGAGAAAGAAGCAAAGAAAGGTGATTGGGAGAAGAGATATTCACCCTCAGCAGTGCAGATTGGGCTGCCCCAAGTGCCATGTGGGCTGTGATCACAGGAATTTGGAGCTCAATTTCTTCATTGCTTCTTTAGTCTTATCCAGAGAGAAAATTGGATTTCTAGAGATTTCTTCTGTGCAGAGAGCAATTATACTAACACTGCGTAGGTAACAGCTTTTTCAGCCAGCCTTTCTCTCTCAGAATAATAAAGTATACGCAGAGCCGATTTCAGAATGCACCTTCACCTCACCATCCAGGGTTTAGCCCCTCTTAGCAGCTGACGTGTTCTAGGACCTTAAAGAAATTCCAGAGCATTTCCTTCTTTTTGAAACTCACTCTGCAATTAATTTACTGTCAGGTCTCTGCCAGCTGGTTTTTATGCCATTACCTACCTTTTAGATAAATTGAGTTTGACTTTCTTAAGTCAAGAAGTTTCACAACTCTGATCATATATTTAAATACCCCTCAATGCTGAGAGCCTGAGAATTAAAAGCACTAAGTAATGATAAGAACCCAAAATGCCTTTGGCAGAATACAAAATGCCACAGGACTGCTGAGAGCCCATAATCATAGTCTAAAACTTTCATTTTCTTCCTTTCCTATAACATTATAGTAATAAAAGGTCAGGTTAGGCCTTTGTTTGCTTCGTAAAACAGGGTAATCACACCATTTAAACACCATCCAGACCTACCACCCAAACAGATCCGCTCCCTCTCCTGCCCCTTTCCGAAATATTGTCTCTGTTATAATATGTTACTGCAAAACATTGTGTTTCAATGTGTTTCTTTCTGCTGATTAACAGGTTTTAGATTCAGGAAGGCTGAAAGAATATGATGAGCCATATGTTTTGCTGCAAAATAAAGAGAGCCTATTTTACAAGATGGTGCAACAGCTGGGCAAGGCAGAAGCCGCTGCCCTCACTGAAACAGCAAAACAGGTGAGCGCGCTCCGAGGAGCTGTAATTAAAGTTTGTCTCAGTGGCTCCCTCCACACAATTTGGCACCGTGGGTATGGTAACAAGCACTGTGTACCCTTTTCAATTATAAGCCTGCAGAGACAAAGCTTCATGGCTGGGTCTTAACAGCACATCCTGGGCTGAAGTCAGGTCTGCAGAGAGTTGGCAGAAGCACGCTGGGGGTCGAGTTGTGCGCACACGTGTGCATGCAGGTGTGTCCAAGAAGCAGAGAGATGTTAGACCGGACTTTATACACATTTAGACTCTGGGTTCAGATTCTCTTAGAAAAAGGCATAGAGCACATCGTGCTCATATTCTGCAGACCCACTGCATTTCATTCTCAACAGGCAAATGCTGTCGAGGTACATACAGGAGATTTAAGAGTTTGAGCAAAAAGTGTGGAATGTTATTTATTGTTCTAGAAAGATCTACCCAGAAAAATGTGTGGATTGCTTTTGGTTTTTGTCTTATTATTTGTAAAGGAAACTCCTACATAATACTCTCACTGTCACCCTAGGTTTCCCCCTCATTTTGTTGTTTAGAATCAGGCCCATGTAGCCCTTTATGCTTCCTCTACCTTCTATAAGATGTAGTTGCCATCAGGACAAATCAGGAATGTATAACATGTGAAAGCTATAAGCCTGAATAGTCCTTGAAGGTTTATACGGCACTAAAGACACACAGGCTACAGGATCTCTTTCCAACAATGGTGATGTGGAAGTATCTCATTCTACAGATGCAGTTTGGTTTAAGGACTTAGCCAAATGTCACGTGGTCACCTGTAATTCCTTCTTATAATTCTGTAAGGTAAGAGTAGTATTGATAGAGGGAGGGAAGAAACATCTGCTGCTCTTGGCTTAGGGTGGAATGAGACTTCCAGCAGTGCATGGTGAGGCTCCCATCAAACTGTTCATCTTGAGGCATTATAATATGGGTATGATTTTTCTTCTTCATTGTTTTCTATATTTTTCAGGTTTTTAACACTGTAGGTACAATAAAATTGCTTGTTTGTATATAATATTTTAAATATCTATTGTAGACAACAAAATAAGAATATATAGGCCAACATGGTGAAATCACATCTCTACTAAAAATACAAAAATTACCTGGGCATGGTGGCATATGCCTGTAATCCCAGCTCCTCAGGAGGCTGAGGCAAGAGAATCACTTAAACCTGGGAGGTGGAGGTTGCAGTGACCAAGATTGCACCACTGTACTCCAGCCTGGGCGACAGAGCGAGACACCATCTCAAAAAAAAAAAAAAAAAAAGAAAAAGAATATAAGTTCCCCTATCTAGCAGTATTTCTGTATTAAAGATTTATCCAAATAAAACCTAGGTTCCCTTCAGTCCCTGTTTCATCTCATTCTCCATAGAAGTGAGGAATTGTCCTTTCCACTGTCTGTAGAATATTTCTTTGAATCCTGCATTCATCCTCAAAATGGTTCTGTAAATGCCTTTGTGTGCACAGTGCTATGCTGGACACTAACAAATACATTAAACATGCCCCTCGTCATTGACAACATAAACCCAAGAATAGAGCAGAGCAGAGATTTGATTAACATGCTGGGCCCTGATGGCCATGATGATGATGAGATGTGACAGATGTGCACTATGTGCTTTTCATTATGCCTGTTTAAGAGGCTGAGGCATAGAGAGGACAGGTAATGGCCCACAGTCTCATAGCTAGCAGAGTTATAGGCAGAGTCCGGATTCAAGCCTGTCTTTAGGGTCAGCAAAATCTGTGTTCTGAATTTTCATAAGAATCACATTGTGTATGAATAAGAGGGAAGCTGTACTTGGCGCACTGTATTTCTTTTATACCTGAAATTTACAGAATACTTTTATCTTCTAGAGTATCTTCCCTCATAAAACTCAATCATTCATTTGGGATTCCCTGAATAATCTACTCACAAAAGAGCCAGGAACCTCAAAAACCCTTTTTGTTCTTCAATACTTCAGGCATTTCACATCAAAGAGATGTGTCCCTATCTACATATCAAAGTACTCATTTAAAAAATATGTTAAGTATTGGGCATGGAATAATAAGAAATAGGTCAAGAATTTTAGCATGTTCCAGCTAACATAAGCTAATATAGTTCACCTTTGTTTTACAGATGAGGAAACTGAGGCCCCAAGAAATAAGTGGGTCCAGACTAATTTATAGCAGAGACAGAATTAGGAATCTTTTTTTTATTAATCAATGGTTAATGTAAGTATAACATACATATAAAAAGGGCCATTGGTCATAGAATTGAAAATCTTGATTGCTCGTTCAGTAATGTTCCACCTAATTCAACAATATTAATGATAACTTACATTTGTGTAGTTCTTTATAATTTATTTTACATTGTTTACATAGTTCTTGCATGTATAATTCTGCTTAATCCTCATAGCAGTCTGTAAGTCTGGCTGTATTGACGAGGAAGTTGGGTCGTGAGTCCTCATGTGGACACAGAGCTAGTCCGTGGAGAACAGAGGGTAGATTGCTGGGAGAGTTGTGTCCCTCTAGGTGGTGTTCTGTGTCAAGCCTGAAAACGCTGCACCTTGTCTCATTTGGTATCCAAGATCCAGCTAGTCACCCAAATTCACACAGTGGCAGCACTTCCTTCCTGGATTTTAGTCCTGCCTAACCACTGGCTCAGGTCACCTCTTCAGAAAGACACAAGGAAATACACAGCTTGATTCTCATCCAAGTTGAATATCTTCTTGACATTTCTGCATATACTTGGTCCTCTTAGGAGAACAAGCTGTCAGAGTGTCAACCTTTTCAATGTGCAAGCATCACATATCAATGCATCATTCAGAACTGTAACGCTGTAAGGATTAGTCTAAATCAACAAGCTTTTCACTCTCACAGATTAGAATTCATTTGTTGGAAAAGAAAACTCAGCATCTGGGAAAAGGTACTTCCAAGTCACGTATTCTTGACCACGTAGTTGCTTTCCTGAATATGCTGGTGCAGGCAAAGCTGAGTCTTTCTTTTGACTGACCTTGGCAGATGACTCAGAATGTTCAGAAAGTACTTCTCAGGTACATAAAGCTGAAGGGTGCCCTGGTTTGCTTAGGCTGCCATAGCAAAGTAGGACAGACCAGGTGGCTTAGCCCACAGCAGTTTATGTTCTCACGCTTCTGTGCTAGAGTCTGAGATCTGGGCGTTAGCAGGGTGGCTTTCCTCTGAGACCTCTCTCCTTGGCTTGCAGATGGCTGTGTGTTCACAGGGTATTTTCTCTGTGTATGTCTGTGTCCTAATCACCCTTTGTCTTAGAGCTCCAGTCATATTAGATCAGGGCCCACCCTAAAGACCTCATTTTAACTTAATTACATTTTTAAAGACTTTCCCCAAATACAGTCACATTCTGATGTACTAGGGGTTAGGACTTCAACATAGGAATTTAGGGGGATGCAAATCAGCCCATAAAACAGGGTAAATGTCAATCATTGTCTTCCCTGATGAAGTAGATCTTATTGGGGTTCCCAGTATATAACAGAGGTGCCATTTTCCACAGCCATGAAATCACCAGATACAACTCAAAAGTCATGAAATCCTGGCCAGGCGTAGTGGCTCACACCTGTACTCCCAGCACTTTGGGAAGCCAAGGCTGGAGGATCACTTCAAGTCAGGAGTTTGAGACCAGCCTGGCCAACATGTTGAAACACTGTCTCTACTAAAAATACAAAAATTAGCTGGACGTGGTGGCACATGCTTGTAATCCCAGCTAATCGGAAGGCTGAGGCTGGAGAATCGCTTGAACCGGGAGTTGGAGGTTGCAGTGAGCCTAGATCATACCACTGCACTATAGCCTGGGTGACAAAGCCAGCTCCGTCTCAAAAAAAAATTAATAATAATAAATAAATAAATAAATATATATATATAAAACTATATATATAGTTATTAAATACACACACACACACACACACACACACACACACACACACACATATATATATATATATATATACAGAGAGAGAGAGAGAGAGAGAGAGAGAAAGAGAAAGAGAGCGTGTTTCACTCCTGCTGCCCAGACTGGAGTGCAGTGATGCAATCTCAGCTCACTGCAGTCTCCATCTCCTGGTTCAAGCAATTCTCCTGCCTCAGCCTCCCCAGTAGCTGGGATTACAAGCACCTACCACCACGCCAGGCTAATTTTTTTGTATTTTTAGTAGAGACAGGGTTTCACCATGTTGGCCAGGCTGATCTCGAACTCCTGACCTCAGGTGATCCACCCACCTTGGCCTCCCAAAGTGCTGGGATTACAGGCATGAGCCACTGCAACTGGCCAGTTACTTCATTTTTTCATGGCAACCTAGTATTTATACTTTTTCTACTGTTTACTTTTTATTTTTCCTAATTAACTTCTAATTAAGTTAGCTATTTTTGTTTTTTTACTGGTGAATGACCTATCAGGTTTTTTTTCTTACTGGTTCTTATATTCTGTTTTCCTGTTGATCAGTATTTGCTTTTATTACCTTCCTTTTCTAGTTTTTTCTTGTTTCTTCTTCTTGAATGCATTTTTATTCTTTTTTCTCCCTTAGAATTTTAAGGCTGTGAATTCTCCTGTGCTTTAGGTTTTGATATGTAGTGCTTTTATTCATAGTTTATTTTTTATTTATATATTCTGCAATTTTGGTTTTGATTTTCCCTGGCCCAGGAATTATTGAAGAGGGAAGTTTTAAAAACGTTTTGGTGGTAGAGGTTTGTTTTCTGTTCATTTCTTTTCTGTTTTACTCATCAGTTTCATTTTCATTGCTGTCATCCATATCCTTTTTATCCATTCAGAATTTAATTTCTTGTGTCTTACTGTAGGTAGTTTTTCTGGATGTTCTTTGGCATTGAAAAAAAGATGTTATCTGTTTAAGGTATAGAGCTTAATAAGGTTTAACTAGTTCTACCTTGTTCATTACATTCTTATTAATCCTTATTTATATTGGTCTGTTTTCTGTGACTTGGATCTGGAGGTTAATTAGTTTAATACTAGACATA